TCTCCCCGTGTCTCTCTCCCCCCGTGTCTCTCTCTCCCCGTGTCTCTCTCCCCGTGTCTCTCTCCCCGTGTCTCTCTCCCCGTGTCTCTCTCCCCGTGTCTCTCTCCCTGTGTCTCTCTCTCTGTGTCTCTCTCCCTGTGTCTCTCTCTCCCCGTGTCTCTCTCCCCGTGTCTCTCTCCCTGTGTCTCTCTCCCTGTGTCTCTCTCCCCGTGTCTCTCTCTCCCCGTGTCTCTCTCCCCGTGTGTCTCTCCCCGTGTCTCTCTCCCCGTCTCTCTCTCCCTGTGTCTCTCTCCCCGTGTCTCTCTCCTGTGTGTCTCTCTCCCCGTGTCTCTCTCCCCGTGTCTCTCTCCCCGTGTCTCTCTCCCCGTGTCTCTCTCCCCGTGTCTCTCTCTCCCCGTGTGTCTCTCTCCCCGTGTGTCTCTCTCCCCGTGTCTCTCTCCCCGTGTCTCTCCCCGTGTGTCTCTTGCCCCGTGTCTCTCTCCCCCCGTGTCTCTCACTTCCCGTGTCTCTCTCCCCGTGTCTCTCTCCCCGTGTCTCTCTCTCCCCGTGTCTCTCTCCCCGTGTCTCTCTCCTGTGTGTCTCTCTCTCCCCGTGTCTCTCTCGTGCAGCTGCTCCGCTCTTTGTGTAGGCCACGGGAGACACGGTTGTCCGAGGGAGACAAGGCAGCTCTAAGACCTGCTTTTCACCTGAGGACGGCTGCTTGCGTTGTGGCCGAAACGTCGTGAGAATTATGTTATAATGTTTTATTATTTTATTACTTCCCTTCTACGTGACTTTACCGAAAGAACCAAGACGATGAATCCCTGCAGTCACGAAAGCTTTAAATCGAAAAATAAAACAATAGCTGTTAGTTACCACCAAAAGTCGTCTTGCGTATAGATGTTAGTGTATGAACACATCGTCCTGCTGCGGAGGGAGCTGGTAGGAACGTTGGGTTGCTCGGTCAATGGCCTGCAGGGTCAACGGCCATAATTATAAAGGGCTTATGATGATGATGATGGGCCATTGTGCCCCAGGCTGTGGTCAGATTTGTCATTTTGCACTCCAACAGCAGCGCTTAGGCCAGGGGTCGTGAACCTTTTTGACTGGGAGAGCCGTAAAAGCCAAATATTTCTAAATATATTTCATTGAAAGCCATATAGTGTAATTTTTAACGTGTAATAAATTAAATACGTCTTACTTTTAATGCGACTTCTGGTCACGGGACCCGTGACCCGAGAAATTTTATCTTCAAAACTAATTTCTGTTTACTTTAAAATGACACACTATTATTAAGCAAATATCACAAGTATTTTAAAATCAGTTCCAAACTGATTTTGTTTTTTTATTTTTTTTTTCAACTCAAAATTGTCTGGGAGCCATATGCCGTCACCGGAAGAGCCATGTGTATGGCTCGCGAGCCATAGGTTCCCGACCGCTGGTTTAGTGTATGAACACATTCCTGCGGAGGGAGCTGGTAGGAACGTTGGGTTGCTCGGTCAATGGCCAGGGTCAACGGCCATGCTTATTAAAGGGCTTATGATGATGATGGGCCATTGTGCCCCAGGCTGTGGTCAGATTTGTCATCTTGCACTCCAACAGCAGCGCTTAGCAGAAGCCACTGGGTGGCAGTAAGTGGCTGGGCTCAAATATCAAATGACAATTCAATTCGCCAGTGTCCATGTTTTTGTGTTGTTGTGTTGTTGTTGCTGCTGCTGCTAAGTTCTCCCCAACTCTCGTGTGAGCTTGTCCATGTTGTTGTTGTTGTGTTGTTGTTGTGAGTAGGTGGCGTTGCAACCCAGTAACGAACACTGCAGTTTAACACGAAGTAAGTAAAGACTTGTATGACAAATATCTGCCATCTTGTTGTTGTGGTGGTGTGGTGGTGTTAGATTGTTTAAATATAACATCGTGACAAATATCTGCCATCTTGTTGTGGTTGTTGTTGTGGTGGTGGTGTTAGATTGTTTAAATATGAACATCGTTACAAATATCTGCCATCATATTGCTGTGTGTTGTGGTTGTTGTGGTTGTTGTTGTTGTGGTGGTGGTGGTTGTGTTGTTAGATTGTTTAAATATAACATCGTGACAAATATTTGCCATCATATTGCTGTGTTGTTGTGGTTGTTGTGTTGTTGTGGTTGTTGTGTTGTGGTTGTTGTTGTTGTGGTGGTGGTGGTTGTGTTGTTAGATTGTTTAAATATAACATCGTGTTCAATATCTGCCATCATCTTGCTGTGTCGTTGTGGTTGTTGTGTTGTGGTTGTTGTGTTGTTGTGTTGTGGTTGTTGTGTTGGTGGTTGTTTAAATATAAACGTGTTAAATATCTGCCATGTTGTTGTTGTGGTGGTGGTTGTTGTGTTAGATTGTTTAAATATAACATCGTGTTCAATATCTGCCATCTTGTGTGTTGTGTTGTGGTGCAGTTGTTAGATTGTTTAAATATAACGTGTTAAATATCTGCCATCATCTTGCTGCGTTGTTATGTTGTTGTGGTTGTTGTTGTAGTTGTGTTGTTGTTGTGTTGTTGTAGTTGTGTGGTGGTGTTAGATTATTTAAATATAACATCGTGTTAAATATCTTCCATCTTGCTGTGTTGTTGTGGTTGTTTTCATTTAAAGTTTTCGTGACTGCAGGGATTCACATTCTTGGTTCTTTCGGTAAAGTCACGTAGAAGGGAAATAATAGAAGTTTCTGTTGCAAAAAACTTAGTCGCTAATGTCCCAATACTATCGGTTTAAAACAATAAATAAACAATGCCACTTCAACCTCAGAGAAGCGTCGAGAAGCACGTGGAAATTCCACATTGCCATGGCGTGAGTTTAGCCACAAGGAAGCCACAAGTCGCTGACCAGCCTCACCACCCACCCCTCGTTTGTGTATCGATCCCCGAGGGTCGATCAGCTCTGTTACTGTGTTACTACCGTACAGTAATAACACAGTAACCACCTTCAAGAGCCGAATGGCTCACAGGGCTATAGCTAATCAATGACCTTGAACTTGAACCTTGCAAACTAACTTCTTGACTCTATTGTAAGCCCTGGTTAATAAGAATAAGAATGCTGTTTTGTTTTTTAATGGCACCATACAAGAGCCCTTGATGAACATTGAGATTGGGTTGCTGCAGTGGCTAGGAGATGTTGACTACCTCGCCTGGTACGCAGGAGGTCGTGGGTTCGATCACCAACCCTGATGCTTGCTGCTGTATATTTGGAGTTTGCGTCTCTCTCTCTCATCATCATCACTGTGGCTAGGAGATGTTAACTACCTCGCCTGGTGTACAGGAGGTCGTGGGTTCGATCCCTCCCTGACGCTTATTGTATATTTGGAGTTTGCGTGTCTCTCTCTCATCATCATCATCACGGTGGCTAGGAGATGTTAACTACCTCGCCTGGTGTGCAGGAGGTCGTGGGTTCGATCCCGACCCTGACGCCTGCTGCTGTATATTTGGAGTTTGCGTGTCTCTCTCATCATCATCACGGTGGCTAGGAGATGTTAACTACCTTGCCTGGTGTGCAGGAGGTCATGGGTTCAATCACCAACCCTGACGCTTGTTGTATATTTGGAGTTTGCGTGTCTCTCTCTCTCATCATCATCACGGTGGCTAGGAGATGTTAACTACCTCGCCTGGTGTACAGGAGGTCGTGGGTTCATTCCCGACCCTGACGCCTGCTGCTGTATATTTGGAGTCTGCGTGTCTCTCTCTCTCATCATCATCACGGTGGCTAGGAGATGTTAACTACCTCGCCTGGTATACAGGAGGTCGTGGGTTCGATCCCGACCCTGACGCTTATTGTATATTTGGAGTTTGCGTGTTCTCCCCATGGTGGCGGGTGGATTTGTCTCCGGGTCATCCGGTGTTTACCTCTACGTTTAGAATCAACATGCGCTCAGAGTATGTGGCTGCTATAAACTTACACATAGGCTGCTTTGTTGAGCTATCACTTTTGGCCAGGTCGCTTCCGTTAAAAAACCGACATGACTCAGTGGGCGTTATTTGTTAGAAAAAATAAATGTGCAAATCCTGCGGTCCGTGACAGTGACACGTGGGGACCTAATGCAGTCAAGGATACGTTCTTTTTTCAATCGAACCGTCTCGCTGGTTACGCTGTGAATTGTTGTTACATTCAATCCGCACAAGCGGTGTTCATTTTTCGTGATATTTTTCCGCAACGGTGAAAAATATGCGTACGCTCGGAAAATTAAGCGAACTTTTTCGGGATAAGAAAACCCCCCCAAACAAAACGTGTAAGACGTGGCAACGCTGTGCGTTGCTGTAACCGTGAATGGTCAGCCAGTACGGCATGGAATTAGCCTTTGCCGCATGCAGGAACACTTCCTCATAGGCACACAGATCCCCCGCAACCAGAGGTCGCAACCGGGTACCCGATACCCGTACCCTACCCGATACCCGTACCCTACCCGATACCCGTACCCTACCCGATACCCGTACCCTACCCGATACCCGTACCCTACCCGATACCCGTACCCTACCCGATACCCGTACCCTACCCGATACCCGTACCCTACCCGATACCCGTACCCTACCCGATACCCGTACCCTACCCGACACCCGTACCCTACCCGATACCCGTACCCTACCCGATACCCGTACCCTACCCGATACCCGTACACTACCCGATACCCGTACCCTACCCGATACCCGGCTACCCGTACCCGGCCGGGTACGGGTAGCCGTTTGCGACCCTGGTGCGGCCGGGTACGGGTAGGCCGTGAGTCACTGGAGAGTAACCGTTTGTCACTCATTTAGGTTTTTTTCGGTAAAGTCACGTAGGTGAAAAATAATGCTGTTCGTGTCGGATGTGCTAGACCACACACTGGGAATGGGGGGGGGCGGGAGGGGGGGAAATATATTAATAATAACAAAGCAATGGATCTTTAGAAGCGAGCGTGAAGCAATGTCCATCACAGTTGCCCTCCTGGTCGTTTCCTTTGAGTGACACCCTTGAAGGTAAAACCGTCGGCAAAACGCGCTGACGCACCGCTCTGCTCGGTCGCAGTGGCGAGCTACGCGAGCGCGGCGATGCGAGACCGCAACCCGGACGACGCCGAGGAGGAGAGGCTGCAGATCATCGAGGAGGTGGACGCAGAGGAGGAGAAAGACGAGGTGGAGGCGGCGGCGGAAGATGACGTGACGAACTTAGAGGGGACCGGCGGCAATCCCGGCGTCAATCCCGGCGTGGACAAGACTGCCGAGGCGCTGGGCAGTGCGCAGGACGGGACGTTGGCGGAGTGCGATGTGCCGGGCAGTGGGGCCACTCGCCGTGGTGGTGGTGGCGGTGGCGGTGGTGGCGGCGGTGGTGGTGGTGGCGGTGGTGGCGGTGGCGGTGGTGGCGGCGGTGGTGGTGGTGGTGGTGGCGGTGGCGGTAAGAGCACACGTGCTCACACTTCACAGCGTAGTTGTTAGCGTTGTGTTTAAAATGAAAGGAAAAAAAACACCTTGGTTCTTTCGGTAAAGTCACGTAGAAGGGAAATAATAAAATAATAAAAATAAAACATAATAAAATTATTCTCACGACGTTTCGGCCACAACGCAAGCAGCCATCCTCAGGTGAAGAACAGGTCTGTCGGTAAAATCACGGTTTTTACCTCTACGTTTAGAATCAACATGCGCTCAGAGTATTTGGCTGCTATAAACTTACACATAGGCTGCTTTGTTGAGCTATCATTTTTGGCCAGGTCGCTTCCGTTAAAAAACCGACATGACTCAGTGGGCCTTATTTGTTAGAAAAAATAAATGTCCAAATCCTGCGGTCCGTGACAGTGACACGTGGGGACCTAATGCAGTCAAGGATAGGTTCTTTTTTCAATCGAACCGTCTCGCTGGTTACGCTGTGAATTGTTTTTACATTCAATCCGCACAAGCGGTGTTCATTTTTAGTGATATTTTTCCGCAACGGTGAAAAATATGCGTACGCTCGGAAAATAAAGCGAACTTTTTTAGGATAAGAAAACCCCCCCAAACAAAACGTGTAAGACGTGGCAACGCTGTGCGTTGCTGTAACTGTGAATGGTCAGCCAGTACGGCATGGAATTAGCCTTTGCCGCATGCAGGAACACTTCCTCATAGGCACACAGATCCCCCGCAACCAGAGGTCGCAACCGGGTACCCGATACCCGTACCCTACCCGATACCCGTACCCTACCCGATACCCGTACCCTACCCGATACCCGTACCCTACCCGATACCCGTACCCTACCCGATACCCGTACCCTACCCGATACCCGTACCCTACCCGATACCCGTACCCTACCCGATACCCGTACCCTACCCGATACCCGTACCCTACCCGATACCCGTACCCTACCCGACACCCGTACCCTACCCGATACCCGTACCCTACCCGATACCCGTACCCTACCCGATACCCGTACACTACCCGATACCCGTACCCTACCCGATACCCGGCTACCCGTACCCGGCCGGGTACGGGTAGCCGTTTGCGACCCTGGTGCGGCCGGGTACGGGTAGGCCGTGAGTCACTGGAGAGTAACCGTTTGTCACTCATTTAGGTTTTTTTCGGTAAAGTCACGTAGGTGAAAAATAATGCTGTTCATGTCGGATGTGCTAGACCACACACTGGGAATGGGGGGGGGCGGGAGGGGGGGAAATATATTAATAATAACAAAGCAATGGATCTTTAGAAGCGAGCGTGAAGCAATGTCCATCACAGTTGCCCTCCTGGTCGTTTCCTTTGAGTGACACCCTTGAAGGTAAAACCGTCGGCAAAACGCGCTGACGCACCGCTCTGCTCGGTCGCAGTGGCGAGCTACGCGAGCGCGGCGATGCGAGACCGCAACCCGGACGACGCCGAGGAGGAGAGGCTGCAGATCATCGAGGAGGTGGACGCAGAGGAGGAGAAAGACGAGGTGGAGGCGGCGGCGGCGGCGGAAGATGACGTGACGAACTTAGAGGGGACCGGCGGCAATCCCGGCGTCAATCCCGGCGTGGACAAGACTGCCGAGGCGCTGGGCAGTGCGCAGGACGGGACGTTGGCGGAGTGCGATGTGCCGGGCAGTGGGGCCACTCGCCGTGGTGGTGGTGGCGGTGGCGGTGGTGGCGGCGGTGGTGGTGGTGGCGGTGGTGGCGGTGGCGGTGGTGGCGGCGGTGGTGGTGGTGGTGGTGGCGGTGGCGGTAAGAGCACACGTGCTTACACTTCACAGCGTAGTTGTTAGCGTTGTTTAAAATGAAAGGAAAAAAAACACCTTGGTTCTTTCGGTAAAGTCACGTAGAAGGGAAATAATAAAATAATAAAAATAAAACATTATAAAATTATTCTCACGACGTTTCGGCCACAACGCAAGCAGCCATCCTCAGGTGAAGAACAGGTCTGTCGGTAAAATCACGTAGAATGGAAGTAATAAAATAATAAAAATTAAACATAAAATAAAATAATTCTCACGACGTTTCGGCCACAACGCAAGCAGCCGTCCTCAGGTGAAGAACAGGTCTGTCTTCTGTCTTCCCGACAGACCTGTTCTCCACCTGAGGACGGCTGCTTGCGTTGTGGCCGAAACGTCGTGAGAATTATTTTATTTTATTATGTTTTATATTTATTATTTTATTATTTCCCTTCTACGTGACTTTACCGAATGAACCAAGAAGATGAATCCCTGCAGTCACGAAAGCTTTAAATCGAAAAAAACACGTTTGTAGCAGCATTTGTCGACTTAACAACAAGAACTAAATCCACAGAGTATTTGTTCTGCTCCAGCGAGCATTGAGGCAGCTGTGATCGTCTCACTGGGTACCGATTCATTGCCACTGGTGGGAATTTCACATTCCCATGGCGGGAGAGACCAAAGCGTGACGGGCTGAATCAACTTCCCATCCCCAAATGACGATTTGAACTCGCAGCCTCCCGATTGCGAGCCACTTTGTCTACCCCTGGGCCACGTGGCCACACGCTATTCTGGATTGCGGCTAACTTCACCAAGCGATCGTTACGTTCGGCGCTTCGGGGTGGGCCAACCAGAGCCGGGCGTGCCACGCTTGCGGCAGCGGTATCGCAAGACGCCCGGCAATGCCGTATTTGCCAACGCAGGCGGTGGCATCTCCGTTAAGCGACGCATTCGCAGAGTGAGAAGCGGAATGAGAGGGAGGCGTGCAACTTAGATTGAGGCCATCAGTCTTACTCCGTACTACAACAAACAAAACATGGCCAAACCAAAAACACTTTTCGAAAATCACCAAAATAAAGCCATAAAATCTTCTTGGTTCTTTCGGTATAGTCACCACGTAGAAGGAAGTAATAAAATAACAAAAATAAAACACAATAAAATAATTCTCACGACGTTTCGGCCACAACACAAGCAGCCGTCCTCAGGTGAAGAACAGGTCTGTCGAGGCGACAGCGTCTAAAAGAAAACACCACCACGCTTGGCCATAAAAGCAATGAAACAGCGATCGTAGGAACCGTGACCGAATTTTCACGACAGACGACGTGAACAACACGGACCACCAAACTCGACAGCGGTCCGTCACATCGGTGGGATTGCGTCGTCTCTTCACGCACCACCAGCGGCCCCCTCGCCCCGTGCCTCCCCGCTAGGCCCGAGGACTCACGGCTCATTTGCCGCGCCGTTGCCGCCACCGCCGCCGCCGCCGCTGCCGCTGGCGTGCCCTCACTGCGGCCGCGGCTACAAGCGTCGGGGCTCGCTGTGGAAGCACGTTCGCCGCCGGCACGAGGGGGCCCTCGCGGATCTCCACAAATCACCGCGACCTCCCCGGGCGGGCCAGGTGACTGACTAACCCCCGTTTGCCGGCATCGTCGCACGTCTGAATGTGTCCGTCTGAATGTGTCCGTCTGAATGTGTCCGTCTGAATGTGTCCGTCTGAATGTGTCCGTCTGAATGTGTCCGTCTGAATGTGTCTGTCTGAATGTGTCTGTCTGAATGTGTCTGTCTGAATGCATCTGTCTGAATGCGTCTGTCTGAATGCGTCTGTCTGAATGTGTCTGTCTGAATGCGTCTGTCTGAATGTGTCTGTCTGAATGTGTCTGTCTGAATGTGTCCGTCTGAATGCGTCTGTCTGAATGCGTCTGTCTGAATGCGTCCGTCTGAATGTGTCTGTCTGAATGTGTCTGTCTGAATGCGTCTGTCTGAATGCGTCTGTCTGAATGTGTCCGTCTGTGTCCATCTGTGTCCGTCTGAATGCGTCTGTCTGAATGCGTCTGTCTGAATGTGTCTGTCTGAATGTGTCTGTCTGAATGTGTCTGTCTGAATGTGTCTGTCTGAATGCGTCTGTCTGAATGCGTCCGTCTGAATGCGTCTGTCTGAATGTGTCTGTCTGAATGTGTCTGTCTGAATGTGTCTGTCTGAATGTGTCTGTCTGAATGCGTCTGTCTGAATGCGTCCGTCTGAATGTGTCTGTCTGAATGTGTCTGTCTGAATGTGTCTGTCTGAATGCGTCCGTCTGAATGTGTCTGTCTGAATGTGTCTGTCTGAATGTGTCCGTCTGAATGTGTCTGTCTGAATGTGTCCGTCTGAATGCGTCCGTCTGAATGTGTCTGTCTGAATGTGTCTGTCTGAATGTGTCTGTCTGAATGCGTCTGTCTGAATGTGTCTGTCTGAATGCGTCTGTCTGAATGCGTCTGTCTGAATGTGTCCGTCTGAATGTGTCCGTCTGAATGTGTCCGTCTGAATATGTCTGTCTGAATGTGTCCGTCTGAATGCGTCCGTCTGAATGTGTCTGTCTGAATGTGTCTGTCTGAATGTGTCTGTCTGAATGCATCTGTCTGAATGCGTCTGTCTGAATGCGTCCGTCTGAATGTGTCTGTCTGAATGCGTCTGTCTGAATGTGTCTGTCTGAATGTGTCCGTCTGAATGCGTCTGTCTGAATGTGTCTGTCTGAATGTGTCTGTCTGAATGCGTCTGTCTGAATGCGTCTGTCTGAATGTGTCCGTCTGAATGTGTCCGTCTGAATGCGTCCGTCTGAATGTGTCCGTCTGAATGTGTCCGTCTGAATGTGTCCGTCTGAATGTGTCCGTCTGAATGTGTCCGTCTGAATGTGTCCGTCTGAATGTGTCTGTCTGAATGTGTCTGTCTGAATGTGTCTGTCTGAATGCATCTGTCTGAATGCGTCTGTCTGAATGCGTCTGTCTGAATGTGTCTGTCTGAATGCGTCTGTCTGAATGTGTCTGTCTGAATGTGTCTGTCTGAATGTGTCCGTCTGAATGCGTCTGTCTGAATGCGTCTGTCTGAATGCGTCCGTCTGAATGTGTCTGTCTGAATGTGTCTGTCTGAATGCGTCTGTCTGAATGCGTCTGTCTGAATGTGTCCGTCTGTGTCCATCTGTGTCCGTCTGAATGCGTCTGTCTGAATGCGTCTGTCTGAATGTGTCTGTCTGAATGTGTCTGTCTGAATGTGTCTGTCTGAATGTGTCTGTTCTGAATGCGTCTGTCTGAATGCGTCCGTCTGAATGCATCTGTCTGAATGTGTCTGTCTGAATGTGTCTGTCTGAATGTGTCTGTCTGAATGTGTCTGTCTGAATGCGTCTGTCTGAATGCGTCCGTCTGAATGTGTCTGTCTGAATGTGTCTGTCTGAATGTGTCTGTCTGAATGCGTCCGTCTGAATGTGTCTGTCTGAATGTGTCTGTCTGAATGTGTCCGTCTGAATGTGTCTGTCTGAATGTGTCCGTCTGAATGCGTCCGTCTGAATGTGTCTGTCTGAATGTGTCTGTCTGAATGTGTCTGTCTGAATGCGTCTGTCTGAATGTGTCTGTCTGAATGTGTCTGTCTGAATGCGTCTGTCTGAATGTGTCTGTCTGAATGCGTCTGTCTGAATGCGTCTGTCTGAATGTGTCCGTCTGAATGTGTCCGTCTGAATGTGTCCGTCTGAATATGTCTGTCTGAATGTGTCCGTCTGAATGCGTCCATCTGAATGTGTCTGTCTGAATGTGTCTGTCTGAATGTGTCTGTCTGAATGCATCTGTCTGAATGCGTCTGTCTGAATGCGTCCGTCTGAATGTGTCTGTCTGAATGCGTCTGTCTGAATGTGTCTGTCTGAATGTGTCCGTCTGAATGCGTCTGTCTGAATGTGTCTGTCTGAATGTGTCTGTCTGAATGCGTCTGTCTGAATGCGTCTGTCTGAATGTGTCCGTCTGAATGTGTCCGTCTGAATGCGTCCGTCTGAATGTGTCCGTCTGAATGTGTCCGTCTGAATGTGTCTGTCTGAATGTGTCCGTCTGAATGTGTCCGTCTGAATGCGTCCGTCTGAATGCGTCTGTCTGAATGTGTCTGTCTGAATGTGTCTGTCTGAATGCGTCTGTCTGAATGTGTCTGTCTGAATGTGTCTGTCTGAATGTGTCTGTCTGAATGTGTCTGTCTGAATGTGTCTGTCTGAATGCGTCTGTCTGAATGTGTCCGTCTGAATGCGTCCGTCTGAATGCGTTCTGTCTGAATGTGTCCGTCTGAATGTGTCTGTCTGAATGCGTCTGTCTGAATGTGTCCGTCTGAATGCGTCTGTCTGAATGTGGTCTGTCTGAATGGTCTGTTGAATGCGTCTGTCTGAATGCGTCTGTCTGAATGTGTCCGTCGTGTGTCCATCTGTGTCCGTCTGAATGCGTCTGTCTGAATGCGTCTGTCTGAATGGTCTGTCTGACTGTGTCTGTCTGAATGTGTCTGTCTGAATGTGTCTGTCTGAATGCTGTCTGTCTGAATGCGTCAGTCTGAATGCGTTTCTGTCTGAATGTGTCTGTCTGAATGTGTCTGTCTGAATGTGTCTGTCTGAATGTGCTGTCTGAATGCGTCTGTCTGAATGCGGTCCGTCTGAATGGTCTGTCTGAATGTGTCTGTTGAATGTGTCTGTTGAATGCGTCCGTCTGAATGTGTCTGTCTGCGTAATGTGTCTGTCTGAATGGTCTGTCTGAATGTGTCTGTCTGAATGCGTCCTGTCTGAATGTGTCTGTCTGAATGCGTCTGTCTGAATGCGTCTGTCTGAATGTGTCCGTCTGAATGTGTCCGTCTGAATGTGTCCGTCTGAATATGTCTGTCTGAATGTGTCCGTCTGAATGCGTCCGTCTGAATGTGTCTGTCTGAATGTGTCTGTCTGAATGTGTCTGTCTGAATGCATCTGTCTGAATGCGTCTGTCTGAATGCGTCCGTCTGAATGTGTCTGTCTGAATGCGTCTGTCTGAATGTGTCTGTCTGAATGATGTCCGTCTGAATGCGTCTGTCTGAATGTGTCTGTCTGAATGTGTCCTGTCTGAATGCGTCTGTCTGAATGCGTCTGTCTGAATGTGTCCGTCTGAATGTGTCCGTCTGAATGCGTCCGTCTGATTGTCCGTCTGAATGTGGTCCGTCTGAATGTGTCCGTACTGAATGTGTCCGTCTGAATGTGTCCTGATTCCTGAATGTGTCCGTCTGAATGTGTCTGTCTGAATGTGTCTGTCTGAATGTGTCTGTCTGAATGCATCTGTCTGAATGCGTCTGTCTGAATGCGTCTGTCTGAATGTGTCTGTCTGAATGCGTCTGTCTGAATGTGTCTGTCTGAATGTGTCTGTCTGAATGTGTCCGTCTGAATGCGTCTGTCTGAATGCGTCTGTCTGAATGCGTCCGTCTGAATGTGTCTGTCTGAATGTGTCTGTCTGAATGCGTCTGTCTGAATGCGTCTGTCTGAATGTGTCCGTCTGTGTCCATCTGTGTCCGTCTGAATGCGTCTGTCTGAATGCGTCTGTCTGAATGTGTCTGTCTGAATGTGTCTGTCTGAATGTGTCTGTCTGAATGTGTCTGTCTGAATGCGTCTGTCTGAATGCGTCCGTCTGAATGCGTCTGTCTGAATGTGTCTGTCTGAATGTGTCTGTCTGAATGTGTCTGTCTGAATGTGTCTGTCTGAATGCGTCTGTCTGAATGCGTCCGTCTGAATGTGTCTGTCTGAATGTGTCTGTCTGAATGTGTCTGTCTGAATGCGTCCGTCTGAATGTGTCTGTCTGAATGTGTCTGTCTGAATGTGTCCGTCTGAATGTGTCTGTCTGAATGTGTCCGTCTGAATGCGTCCGTCTGAATGTGTCTGTCTGAATGTGTCTGTCTGAATGTGTCTGTCTGAATGCGTCTGTCTGAATGTGTCTGTCTGAATGTGTCTGTCTGAATGCGTCTGTCTGAATGTGTCTGTCTGAATGCGTCTGTCTGAATGCGTCTGTCTGAATGTGTCCGTCTGAATGTGTCCGTCTGAATGTGTCCGTCTGAATATGTCTGTCTGAATGTGTCCGTCTGAATGCGTCCGTCTGAATGTGTCTGTCTGAATGTGTCTGTCTGAATGTGTCTGTCTGAATGCATCTGTCTGAATGCGTCTGTCTGAATGCGTCCGTCTGAATGTGTCTGTCTGAATGCGTCTGTCTGAATGTGTCTGTCTGAATGTGTCCGTCTGAATGCGTCTGTCTGAATGTGTCTGTCTGAATGTGTCTGTCTGAATGCGTCTGTCTGAATGCGTCTGTCTGAATGTGTCCGTCTGAATGTGTCCGTCTGAATGCGTCCGTCTGAATGTGTCCGTCTGAATGTGTCCGTCTGAATGTGTCTGTCTGAATGTGTCCGTCTGAATGTGTCCGTCTGAATGCGTCCGTCTGAATGCGTCTGTCTGAATGTGTCTGTCTGAATGTGTCTGTCTGAATGCGTCTGTCTGAATGTGTCTGTCTGAATGTGTCTGTCTGAATGTGTCTGTCTGAATGTGTCTGTCTGAATGTGTCTGTCTGAATGCGTCTGTCTGAATGTGTCCGTCTGAATGCGTCCGTCTGAATGCGTCTGTCTGAATGTGTCCGTCTGAATGTGTCTGTCTGAATGCGTCTGTCTGAATGTGTCCGTCTGAATGTGTCTGTCTGAATGTGTCTGTCTGAATGTGTCTGTCTGAATGCGTCTGTCTGAATGCGTCCGTCTGAATGCGTCTGTCTGAATGCGTCTGTCTGAATGTGTCCGTCTGAATGTGTCTGTCTGAATGTGTCTGTCTGAATGTGTCTGTCTGAATGCGTCTGTCTGAATGTGTCCGTCTGAATGCGTCCGTCTGAATGCGTCTGTCTGAATGTGTCCGTCTGAATGTGTCTGTCTGAGTGCGTCTGTCTGAATGTGTCCGTCTGAATGTGTCTGTCTGAATGTGTCTGTCTGAATGTGTCTGTCTGAATGCGTCTGTCTGAATGCGTCCGTCTGAATGCGTCTGTCTGAATGCGTCTGTCTGAATGTGTCCGTCTGAATGTGTCTGTCTGAATGTGTCTGTCTGAATGTGTCTGTCTGAATGCGTCTGTCTGAATGCGTCTGTCTGAATGTGTCTGTCTGAATGTGTCTGTCTGAATGTGTCTGTCTGAATGCGTCCGTCTGAATGCGTCTGTCTGAATGTGTCTGTCTGAATGTGTCTGTCTGAATGCGTCTGTCTAAATGTGTCTGTCTGAATGTGTCCGTCTGAATGCGTCCGTCTGAATGCGTCTGTCTGAATGTGTCTGTCTGAATGCGTCTGTCTGAATGTGTCTGTCTGAATGTGTCTGAATGTGTCTGTCTGAATGCGTCTGTCTGAATGCGTCTGTCTGAATGTGTCTGTCTGAATGTGTCTGTCTGAATGTGTCCGTCTGAATGTGTCTGTCTGAATGCGTCTGTCTGAATGTGTCCGTCTGTGTCCGTCTGTGTCCGTCTGTGTGAATGTGTCCGTCTGAATGCGTCCGTCTGAATGCGTCTGTCTGAATGTGTCCGTCTGAATGTGTCTGTCTGAATGCGTCTGTCTGAATGTGTCCGTCTGAATGTGTCTGTCTGAATGTGTCCGTCTGAATGTGTCTGTCTGAATGTGTCTGTCTGAATGTGTCCGTCTGAATGTGTCCGTCTGAATGTGTCCGTCTGAATGTGTCCGTCTGTGTCCGTCTGTGTCCGTCTGAATGCGTCTGTCTGAATGTGTGCGGGGGAATAGAAGTCGCGACACGTCGTTGAGGAGCTTCATAGCTCATCCGATTCCCTCCGGTAAAATTGTTTTATTATTCTGATTCTCACTTCGCACCTCTGTTCCATCTTTGCGCAGAAGGGTCAGCCTCCCGCTGCCGCGAGCCACAAGTGCGCAGTGTGTGGGAGAGACTTCAAGAGCAAACACCACCTCAAGGAACACTTCCGCATCCACAGCGGTGAGTGTGGAACAATTGCGACGTTTGGCAGAACGCACCCACCGACGTGATTTCCTTCATATTCTTAGGTTTCTTCGGTAAAGTCACGTAGGTAAAACATCAAAATTAATGAAAATAAAATAAAATAAAAATCACGACTTGATGCAGCTAATCCGGCTGTGACGGTCCCACCTGATGACGGAGACTTGTGTTGCCTCCGAAACGTCGTGATTTTTATTTTCATTAATTTTGATGTTTTACCTACGTGACTTTACCGAAAAAACCTAAGAATATGAATCCTTGCAGTCACGAAAGCTTCAAATCTGTGATTTCCTTCCTGCGCGTGTGTCTACAGCGCAGGCCGCATTCGCCGCGTCACGCGGCACTTTGGATGATGCGTTTATAATGTTTTGGTTCGACACGGGAACTTTCGCAACCGATATCATCCACAATTCTGACTGCCCACCTGATGACGCTGGTTGTAGTTACTGGCGAAACGTCGCCGCGCTTGAATTGCAAACGTCGTGGGTTTACTCTCCAGCACGCCGGCGTGCTGAGCTCGTGTAACGAATCGGCACGTTGTGTTTCGCGTCGCAAACTTTACGAACCGGCCGTGTCGGTTTTTGACGACGCGTCGTTCACACTGACGCGATGTAACCCGGAAACCTCCGTCGTCGCTGTGTTTGTTTGTAATTTCCAGGGGAGAAGCCGTACGGGTGCCCAATTTGCAAGAAGCGCTTCTCCCACTCGGGCTCGTACAGCTCGCACAAGAGAGCCAACAAGTGCGTGGGCTCCGTCACGGCGGACGGCGCGGCGCGGGCGGCGACATCTCCAGTTGCCGCTGCCTCGACGGCTGACGCCGGCAAGATGGAAGGGGCCATCGCCACGTCTCCCAAATCCACCCAGAGCTCAGGTCACGACTACAACGAGGACGACTGTGGCGCTCGTTCCGAGGACTTCCTGCGGATCAGCGGACCGGAGGCCACGGGTCGTCCCGCCGGCAAGATCAAGACCGAAGAGCCGGATCTGTACGAGCGTTCTTCTCACGTGGAAGGGGCGGCTCGCCACGCCGGCCGCTATCGCCACGAACCGTTTCCGAGCGCGGTACCTCTGCGCCAACACGAGCGCTACCTCTGCAAGGTGAACGACGAGATCGACGCGTCGCCTCAACCGTCAGCGCCGCAACCTCCGTCTCCGGCTCAACGAAAGAAGTCGAAATTGTCGGCCGGAAAGGGGTTGAAAGGGAGCCGCGCTACGGGACTCGGAGACCAGTCGGCTTCCCTGAAGTCGTACTGCCTTGCCGGAAGTGTCGAGGCGAGTCCCGAGGAGTCGATGAAGATGTCGTTGGCCATGAACCTCCCCAGAGACGTTTTCTCCAAGTGGCTGGAGGAGAAATTCAACGCGGCGGGCAGAGCGCCGGAGCACCGTGCGTCCGGCTCTCCCTCCCGCGAGCTCGGCCCGTCACCGGCACCGGCTGGGCACGCCGGCCACGGCACGGAGGGAAGTCCGGCTCGGCACCCGCCGGGCTCGCCGACGGGCGCCCGGTCCGACTCGGCGGCGGCAGGTCAGCCCGGCAGCGTGGCGGACGGTCCTCGCCGCGGTCGAGACCAGGCCCGGCCGCTCGACTTGTCGCTGCCAAAGTTGAGCACGGCGAGGCTCGGAGAGACGCGCTTTGTCGATGTCCACGATTCGAGCGGCGTTGAGCGCCAAGAGGAGCCCTTGGACTTGACTTGCGCGAAGAGATCGCACGGCGAGCTGGACTCGAGTGCTTCTCGCGCGACCGACGGCTCGTCGAACGACAACGGCGTTGACCGTTTACACGAGAACAAGCCGACAATGAACACGGTCACTTCCAGCTACGGCAACGGTCCCGTGCTCGCGGCCTTTCCGCTGCCCGGTTTGATTGCGGCCCTCCACATGGGTGACCCCGGCCTGAGGCCCTACACGGGCCTGGACCAAGCAGCCTTGCTGTCCCACGTGTCACCGTACAGAGGCCTTGTGGACGCGGCTGCTCTCGCCGACTTCCACGACAAGATGCGCCACTTTGCACAGGTAAGAGCAACTGCTTGGAGTATCTCTGTGATATCTGTCTGCTTATATGTCTGTCTATGTTTCTGGTTCTGTGTTTTTATCTCTCTCTCAAATTTAGCATTCTCAGGAAGAACGTAATCAACCAGGTAGGGTGTTGACTGTTATGTTATCCGACTCTCTGTTGTATTACATTACATGTGTAGGGTTATTACGGGAGAAACGGCGGACAACAAACACAGGGCTGTCGGCACTCACATACACGGGGGGTCACACCGACGTCCGCATCAGTTATTGCCCACGCCCCCAGCCCTCGGAGGCGATCCCTATAAAAGGTGGAACCCAAAGAGCTCGAGGAGGGGGACACGAAGCTGACCAGTGAAGATCCAAGACTCGGAGATTAGGCCCTGGGACTCCCCGGTCTCGCCGTCCTTATAAGGGCCGAGCCGGGTAAGCCAGTGGCGCGGCCCAAGAGCTTCCAGACCGCTGCCCTTATCAGGGCAAGGCTGGTTAGCTGGTGCCGAGATCTGTGCTTGCCAGGGCCAGATCAGTCAGCCTCCCGTAGCCCAGTAGAGGAGGACTGGGGGACAGGACAGAGGGCTTAGTACTAGGGTGGGTTTCCCATAGTACGGGTGAAGGGGCCGATACCCCTTCAACTATTGTATCTGTCCCGGAGTTAATAAACAGTGTGTCTCAACTTCCTCATCGTCTCCTCATCAACTTACTACATCTGGTGTTGGAAGTGGTCCAAGCATGGATACGAGACGGAAGACTCGTGCCCAAGACCCAGGAGAGGATGACGACGAGGGAGGGGCAGTGCAAGACATCGCCGCCGACGTACCTGCACAACTGCTGCCGGCTCCGACATCGGCGGGGCCGTCGGAGAGGGCCGGGACGTCGACTGACGAGTTGGCGTTGGCTCACTCGCGGCTGGCGGAGCTCTTGTATGCAGCGGCCGCTATGCTGGAACAAATAACTCGCCTGGGGCCGGGAGGAGCGACGCGGCGGGAAGATGGACAACGCCCGCCAGAAACTCCCGCCTTTACAACAGCGGGGCGACTCGAAAATCCCGCCACGAAGACAGTAGGGGCGGAGGGAGGAGTCCCAGCTCGTCACGCGGGAGACGGTGCCCAGCCAGCAGCCGCCACGTCATCGGCGGAGGCGGGTCGCGGTGGCAGCCTATCAGGGGTTGAAACGTCACCACCAGCTGACGCCAGCACCGACCATACAGTACGGGGACGCGCTACGGATGCTGCAAGAGACGCTGCAAGAGGATCGGAGACGGAGCCGACATTCCAGCAACGCCTGCCGGCCCTGCAGGTATTTGTTGCAAGCGACGGCGATTGGGGGGGGTTCCAGCGCCGGTTCTTGGCCCACCAAGAGATGGCAGGCTGGTCGGACAACGAGGCGCTGTGTGCTCTCCCGGCGTTATTGGACGGCGACGCCCTGGGCACCCTCACTGCTGCACCCAAGTCGGCACGCTCCACCATTCAGTCGGCGCTGCAGCTGCTGGCCACCGTTTATGGGCCGCCCTCCGATTGTCGCCAGCTCTTCTATGAACGGCAGAAGGGTGATAAGGAATCGCCACTCGCTTATCGCACGGCCCTGCTGTCATTGGCGAAAGACGCTTTCCCGCGTATGGATGAAGAGGGGATCGATGCGATGGTGGCCGAGAAAATTTTGCTGCTGGCTGACGATCTGGACTTCACCATCTTAGCGCAGGACGATGCGGATATGTCATCACTGCGGGCTGCAAGGCACATTTACGCCAATCTCATCTCCCAGCGGAGGAAGGCGAACAAAGCTGCTGCACGACACACCGTGGCGGCAACCTCTTCTGGAATGGAGGGAGCCTTCGCTGCGGATCGTTCTGCAGGATGGCGATCTGCCGAGCGACCGGCTCGGGACGTTCCAAGCCACCGAGACCAGCCCAAGTCCTCTGGAACGCTCGTCGTCTGCTATAATTGTGGCCTCCGGGGCCACGTGGCGTCCGGATGCCGGGCTCCTCGACAGCGCGGTGCGAGACCTGGAGCTGCGGACGGCCCTCCTCACAAGCCTTCGCAACATCCTCGGGCAAGTCATGGCACCCCACATGTTCGGCCTGCACACACACCCACTTTCCTATCACATGGTCCGATACACAATTCTCGGGGGTTGGGTGCTGGTGCGTCGGGTCGCGGCATGTCGGGGAGGGCGCTCCAACCGGGCCAATGGTCCGAGTTGGCTCACCGAGTTGTGGCTGCATCAGCGGGGTCGTCCGTTGTCGCGGGGCATATTGACGGGGTGGAGGTACGGCTATTGGTCGATACGGGAGCTTCGGCAACTATCATTTCAGATTTGATTTATAATATCCTGCCCGTTCAGAGTCGCCCGTTGCTCCCTGTCGATATACCGTTTTACGCTGCGAATGGGGGCTCGTTGGGTATTATCGGTCAAATTCGAGCGCAAATTTCGATAGGGGACATTAAACTATCTGGCCCGGTGTTCGTCTCCTCCTCGCTGGCTATTCCGTGCCTGTTGGGGACAGACTTTTTGGCCAAATTGCCCATCAAAATTCTGATTGACCAGCAATGCATCGAGCTTCCATCGGGCCGACGTATGACGTTCCTACCTGCCACCCCTGCCGTGCGTGTTGCCTGTGCTACGGTACAGGCGCTTGTTGCTCGGACGGTGCGTGTACCCCCGGGGGCACAGATGTTGGTACCCCTGCGCTTGCGTCGACCGTTCGATAAAGGAGTCTCTGACCGGGGCGTTATTTTGGGACCATCTAGAGCCGGGGTGAGTGGGCCAGATCTGGTGACGGCCCAGACTATTGTTAAAGGGGATGGGGACCCGTTTATCGCGGTCCTCAATGTCGGGACACGGACGGCAGTGGTTTCGCAAGGTACCGTGTTCGCACATGCGGTTCCGGTACCTGCGGAAACGCCGATCATTGGCCAGGTGGCCACCGATTCTCAAACGCGATTAGCCTCAGACGCTGACGAGGTTTGGCTGGATGCGTTGTGTGCTGAGTCACCTGACCTGTCTGACGCACAACGTGCTAGATTACGCGCCTTATTGCGAGAATTTTCCGACGTCTTCAGTAAACACAAATACGATATCGGATGTACCAAATTGCTACGCCACCATATTGACACCGGTGACAACGCTCCTATCCGCCAAAATCCTTTTCGGTTAAGTCCCGCCGAAAAGGATCATGTCAAATCGGCTGTAGATGACATGTTGAAATCGGACATCATTTCTCCCTCGACCAGCCCTTGGGGTGCACCCATAGTGTTGGTCAAAAAGCACGACGGGTCCCTAAGGTTCTGCGTTGATTTCCGGCGATTAAATAAGATCTCGGTGGCCGATGCTTATCCGCTTCCTCGAATGGACGAATCGCTGGATGCCCTCGCGGGATCGCGATTCTTTTCCACTTTGGATTTGCTCTCAGGATTTTGGCAACTTCCCTTGGACGACGAATCCAGGCCCAAAACAGCTTTCCGAACGCCGCACGGCCTCTTCCAATTCAATCGCTTACCCATGGGATTACACTCTGCTCCCGCGACGTTCCAGCGCCTGATGGAATTGGTCCTCGCTGGCTTGCAATGGGAGGTGTGTTTGATTTACCTGGATGACGTTATCGTATTCAGTAAGACGTTCGAGGAACACCTTGATAGGCTTCGGGCCGTCTTTCTCAAAATGCGCGCTGCTAATTTGAAATTCAAGCCACAAAAGTGCCATTTGCTGCGCGAATCTGTTAAATATTTGGGTCACATCGTCGGCCGGTCAGGTATCTCAACCGATCCCGCCAAAACGCGTTGTGTCAGCTCCTGGCCTATTCCCACCTCGGTGGGGGAGGTTAGAAGCTTCATCGGCTTTGCTTCATATTACCGCCGGTTTGTTGCGGACTTTGCTTCCATCGCTAAGCCACTACATGCCTTGACGTCAAAAGGGGTCAAATTTCATTGGGGGCCGGTGGAGAACGCCGCTTTTGTCTCTCTTCGGGATGCCCTGGTGGGGGCCCCGCCGTTAAGCTACCCCGATTTTTCCATGCCGTTCGTGCTCGACACGGACGCAAGCAATACCGGGATTGGAGGCGTGCTGTCACAAATTGTGGGTGGCGTGGAGCGCGTTGTGGCTTATGGTAGTAGAGTACTGTCCCCGGCCGAGCAGCGGTACTGCGTCACCCGCCGCGAACTGTTGGCTATCGTGTTCTTTATCCAACAGTACCGGCCATATCTGTACGGCCGGCATTTCACCGTCCGTACAGATCATGCAGCGTTGCAGTATGCCCTACGAATTAACCAGCCATCGGGGCAGTTGTCCCGATGGCTCGAGATCATGCAGGATTTCGATTTTGAGACAACTTACCGGAAGGGGATTCGCCACACCAACGCCGATGCCCTATCACGCCTGCCGATCGCCCCGGATTGCACTTGTTTCTTGGGTTCGGGCCGTTGCAAATCGGCAAGTGACGGCCGGGATCGGGTTCTTGCGGCCGCAGTTGATACTCCTTCGGACGCTGGTCCTATTTCGGAGGGTGGGAGTGATTCCCTACTTGGCTTGTCAAGTACTGAGTGGGGTCGCCTCCAAATGGAGGATGCGACCCTCCTGGCGCTACGACGTCGCGCGGAAGGATCAGGTCAAGGGAAGTCGGGCGTTGACTCATGGGGGTGGTGCCAGGGCTTACTCATGCATTGGGACGGGACGATCCGCCGTCACAGGCTGGTGGTGCCTTCCACGTTGAGGGGTAGGGCTGTATGGGCTGCTCATAAACGGCTCCTGCACCTGGGTACCCTCAAAACACTTGCCATGCTCCAGCTTAATTACTTTTGGCCGGGCATGGCAAGAGACGTGGACGATCTGCTGCGGTCCTGTACCCAGTGTGCACAACGGAAGCCGCCGGCGAAGGGAGCCAGTCCACCGCTCCAGTCCATTTCGGTCACCCGGGTTAACGAGCTGGTCGCCCTTGATATTTTGGGACCGTTTCCTTCCACGCCGAGGGGTAATAAGTACCTGCTGGTTGGCGTGGAATATTTCACGCGATGGTCTATGGCTTGGCCCCTCGCCAACCAGTCCGCAGCGGCCGTTGCGGAGGCTTTTGTTCAGGGCTACGTCCTCGACAAAGGCGCTCCGGAACGGTTGTTGACCGATCAGGGAAAGAATTTCACTAGTACCCTTTTACACGAGGTATGTGGCCTTCTGGGTACAAAGAAAGTTCGTACCTCGCCTTACCATCCACAAACGGATGGGATGGTGGAACGCTTGCATAGGACTCTTACGTCCATGCTATCCCACCAGGTATCTGAGTCCCAAAACGATTGGGATCTACGGATCGGGGGAGTCCTGGCGGCATACAGGATGGCTCCTCACGCGGCGACCGGGTTCTCGCCATTTTTTTTTATGTATGGTCGCGAGGTTGACCCGCCTGTCGCGACTCAGCTGACGATTGCCGCGCCTCATGCTAAGTCGAAAATCGCCGACCATGTTAAATTTAACATCCTTCGCTTGGCGGAGGCACGGCAGGCGGCCATGCAAAACTCTGACTCTCGCCAGAAACAAAACGAGAGATTGCGGTCGCGCCGGACTCACACGCACGAATGGCACCCGGGCGACCGAGCATGGTTGCACTGCCCTCAGGTGCCATTGGCCACCTCGGCTAAGTTGTTGCGACCATGGAGGGGCCCCGTTGAAATTGTGCAGGTTGTGCGGCCTCAATGTGTGCGCATTAAGTGGGGGAAGCGTCGGTGGTTTGTGCACCCTTCACGGTTAAAGCCATTTTTTGCTCCGCACGCTTCCTCCCACGTAAATGGCCGAACATGTGGGGAGTCCTCTGACTCCGGGGGGGCGGGATCGATGCCAGCCTCTGATCCACTAATGACTGTCCCGTCTTCAGGAGCCCCAGGACTGAAGCCCTCTGGGCTGCCAGCCTCCCCCGTGGGGGGCGGCGCTGGCACGTCCGGGAAACCGGACGACCAGGCACCTGCTGATGCGACACCTGCCACTGACTCTACCAAGCCGGCCCCTTGTGACGGGCCCGCTGCACGGACTCGCGCCAAAACGCGCCGGTTGTTATGATTAGCTTTCCGCGCGTGTTCCGTTGCTGCGGAACCCGCTCATTGTATATATGTTTTTTTAATGGTTGTATGTGTGTGTAATAACGATGACCACGCTATCTGCTTGTTGCTTGCTGTCCATGTAAGTGTGTGCGTGTGTTGGGAATGGACGGAGAGTCTGCTGTGGTTGCTGAGTTTCAAAGGGAGTGTGTGCGCTGCTGCGTGGAGTTGTTATCTTGATGGTAAAGTTAATTATTAACGTGGGAGCGTCGGGTATCCTGTGCTGTATCATCTCGTGGGTCACCGTGCGCGATGGGCTTAATTGAAAAAAAAAAAGTTTTTTTTGGGCTGTATTATGCTGCGAGGTGCTGTGTGCGATGCGGTCGTTGCATGAGAGGGAATAACTGTGTTGTGGTTGAAAAGTTACGACGGGATTGATGGTGTGTTGGTCGCCTGCAGATTTGCTTGCTATTGTGCTTCAATGTACGCGTGTGATCGCGATATGCTGATTGCATGTGCTGTTATACCGTTCTGTATATGTGTTGCGGTTCCGGGTGGGGGGTTTTTTTTTTTTTTTAGGGAACCATCGGTTGATGTTACGCTTGTTCTTGTTATTGTTACTGTTACGAGGCACACGTGTATTGACGGTGTTAATCTTTATTCTTGGGGGTTGAGGGATTGTTGCAGCCGGGACGGCTGCGAGCTGTACAGGGGGGGGTGATGTAGGGGTTATTACGGGAGAAACGGCGGACAACAAACACAGGGCTGTCGGCACTCACATACACGGGGGGTCACACCGACGTCCGCATCAGTTATTGCCCACGCCCCCAGCCCTCGGAGGCGATCCCTATAAAAGGTGGAACCCAAAGAGCTCGAGGAGGGGGACACGAAGCTGACCAGTGAAGATCCAAGACTCGGAGATTAGGCCCTGGGACTCCCCGGTCTCGCCGTCCTTATAAGGGCCGAGCCGGGTAAGCCAGTGGCGCGGCCCAAGAGCTTCCAGACCGCTGCCCTTATCAGGGCAAGGCTGGTTAGCTGGTGCCGAGATCTGTGCTTGCCAGGGCCAGATCAGTCAGCCTCCCGTAGCCCAGTAGAGGAGGACTGGGGGACAGGACAGAGGGCTTAGTACTAGGGTGGGTTTCCCATAGTACGGGTGAAGGGGCCGATACCCCTTCAACTATTGTATCTGTCCCGGAGTTAATAAACAGTGTGTCTCAACTTCCTCATCGTCTCCTCATCAACTTACTACACATGTATAAGTATACTAGATTTGTGTTTCTATTTAATTTATACCTGATGACGATTGCTTGTGTTGCAATCGAAACGTCGTACGCTAGTATTTAATTTAATTTATTATTTTATCTTTATACGTGACTTTATCGAAAGAACCAAAGAATAAACTGCTTGGAGGTTGCGCTGTTGGACTAACACGGAAGCACACGCGCATCGGTGGTGCCGCCTTGTGTTTACAATTCACGTGTTGAACCTTGTTCATTGTGCGGTGAGATAGATGCGTGAATGTTTCGTTGCTGAAATCCTTCGTGTTACGTGATGTTGCGTCGAACTAGGATCCACGTATTAAAGAGTGGGTCCCTGCAGATAAAATCTTGATGCAGGCGAGTCTGCCTCGGCTGATGAGACACTGTATGTCAAATATCAATCCCAGAATCTGCTTGTTCTGAATCAACGCTGCTGACATTGTGCACATCCATAAGGATGTAGCTGAGTGAGTGTAGCTGGGTGAGTGAGTAGCTGAGTGGGTGAGTAGCTGAGTGAGTGAGTAGCTGAGTGAGTGAGTAGCTGAGTGAGTGAGTGAGTAGCTGAGTAAGTGAGTAACTGGGTGAGTGAGTAGCTGGGTGAGTGAGTAGCTGAGTGAGTGAGTAGCTGAGTGAGTGAGTAGCTGAGTGAGTAGCTGAGTGAGTGGATAGCTGAGTGGGTGGATAGCTGAGTGGGTAGTTGAGTAGGTGGGTAGCTGGGTGAGTGGCTGAGTGGGTGGCTAAGTGTGTAGCTGAAAGGTTGGCTGAGTGGGTAGCCGAGTGGTTGGATGAGCAGGTGGGTAGCTGAGCGGATGGGCGCTGAGTGGCTCGCTGAGCGGGTGGTTGAGTGGGTGGATAGCTGAGTGGGTGGATAGCTGAGTGGGTAGTTGAGTAGGTGGGTAGCTGAGTGAGTGAGTAGCTGAGTGGGTGGCTAAGTGTGTAGCTGAAAGGTTGGCTGAGTGGGTAGCTGAGTGGTTGGGTAGATGAGCAGGTGGGTAGCTGAGTGGCTCGATGAGTGGGTGGTTGAGTGGGTTGCTGAGTGGGTGGCTGAGTGGGTGGATAGCTGAGTGGGTAGTTGAGTGAGTGGCTGAGTGAGTGAGTAGCTGAGTGGGTGGCTGAGTGGGTGGATAGCTGAGTGGGTGGATAGCTGAGTGGGTGGATAGCTGAGTGGGTAGTTGAGTGGGTGGCTGAGTGGGTGGCTGAGTGGGTAGCTGAGTGGGTGGCTGAGTGGGTGGGTAGCTGAGTGGGTGGCTGAGTGGGTGGGTAGCTGAGTGGGTGGCTGAGTGGGTAGTTGAGTGGGTAGTTGAGTGGGTAGCTGAGTGGGTGGCTAAGTGGGTAGCCGAGTGGTTGGATGAGCAGATGGGTAGCTGAGTGGGTGGTTGAGTGGTTGGATGGGCGGGTGGGTAGCTGAGTGAGTGAGTAGCTGAGTGGGTGGCTGAGTGGGTGGCCGAGTGGGTAGCTGAGAGGCAAATACGCAAAGGAGACGAAATTCCGTCGGTTAACCTCGGCGGCTCACTGGCCCATCGCGCTCCACAGGGAGAGTCTCCTGAGCGGGGAGAGGGAGTCCCCGTGGGCTCGGTCGCGGTGACAGACTCGGGAGGTCCCGCGCGCAAGCGGCAGAGGAGGGGGGAGCGCGTGCCCGGAGGCTCGTTCGCCCGCGACCTGTCCGACGAAACCTTCCAGGAGAGCGGCCCGTTGTTGCCGCGGCACAAGTACGAGCGCGCAGGTACGCGGCGTCGCGTCCCCGCGCGCTTGCGCTCACGGGCGGCGGGTTTCGTCCGTCGTGCGCCGCTCTCACGCGTCTTCTCCGGAGGCGGAGGCAGGTGATGAATTGTAATAATCGGATGACGCGCGACCGTCGGTACTTGTTATCCTCGCTTAATTTTTGAACGAAATGGAAGAATGAACGGCGTGACGGACACGCCGTGTAATGAACCGGCGTCGGCCACTAACACGATTGTGTGCGCGGTTGGGCGTGTGTGCGTGCGTGTGTGTGCATGCGTGCGCGTGTGTGTGTGTGCGTGCGTGTGTGCGTGTGTGTGCGAGCGTGTGTGCGTGCGTGTGTGCGTGTGTGTGCGTGCGTGTGTGCGTGTGTGTACGTGTGTGTGTGTGTGCGTGTGTGTATGTGTGTGCATGTGTGCGTGCGTGCGTGCGTGTGTGTGTGCGTGTGTGCGTGTGTGTGTGCGTGTGTGCGTGTGTGCGTGCGTGCGTGCGCCCGCGTGGGTATTTTTGGTTTCTGGTGTTGATTTGTTAAACCGATTTCATGTTGAGGCTCATCATGTCGGCGGTGAAGAGTATCCCCAGTGGGCACCGCTGTGTTCACCGCGCTGGTTTCATACCGTCAGCCACGTGCAGTGAATCTCGCAGCCTCCCCAGCCTCGCTGATGTTTTATTTTACTAAAAAACCCGACTAACTCTTATTTTTACCAGGTAAGGCCCACTGTGCTATGCAGCTCTTTTTCAGACGCGACCTTGCGATCACGAATCGTAGCCCAATTAAGTGGCTTTTCGCGTGGAAATTCACAGCAGCCAAATAATCTAAATGCATGTTTATAAATGTGTGGGGGGGGGGGGTGAAAAAAACCCAATACACCTGGAGGAAAACGCACGCCACCATGGGGAGATAGAACACGCAAACTGCAAATATACTTCTAGATTTGAAGCTTTCGTGACTGCAAGGATTCATACTCTTAGTTTTTTTGGTAAAGTCACGTAGGTAAAAAATGAAATTAAAATTTATAAAAATAAAATATAAAAATCACGACGTTTCGGAGGCTGTATACAGCAAATCTGGCTGTGACGGTCCCCACCTGATGACGGAGACTTGTGTTGCCTCCGAAACGTCGTGATTTTTATTTTATTTTTATTAATTTCATTTTTTACCTACGTGACTTTACCGAAAAAACTAAGAGTATGCAAATATACAGCGGGCTATCAGCGCCCGGTTCGAACCCACGACCTCCAGCATGCCGTGCGAGTGCGATAACCCCGCCCCGCCGTTCCCTGTCCGTCGCAGGCAGGCGTCCCCACCGCTGCGAGGTGTGCAGCAAGGCGTTCAAGCACAAGCAGCACCTGATCGAGCACTCGCGGCTGCACTCGGGCGAGAAGCCGTACCGCTGCGGGCGCTGCGGCCGGCGCTTCTCGCACTCGGGCGGCTACTCGCAGCACGTGCACCGCCGCTACTTGTGCTGCGGCGACCCCGGGCAGCCGGGCGCGCCGGGAGCGGATTTGGGGGCGCCGGGAGCGACGGAAGAGCTCAACGAGGGGGATGATGACGGATGCGGGGCGGAGTGGGTGGATGAGCGGGGGGGTGGGTGGGTGAGTGGGTGGGTGAGTGGGTGGGTGGGTGAGTGAGAGGGTTGGTGAGTGAGTGAATGAGTGGGTGGGTGAGTGAGTGGGTGGGTGATTGGGTGAGGTTGGTGAGTGGGTGGATGAGTGGTGAGGTTGGTGAGTGGGTGGATGAGTGGGTGGGTGAGTGGGTGGGTGGGTGAGTGAGAGGGTTGGTGAGTGAGTGAATGAGTGGGTGGGTGAGTGAGTGGGTGGGTGATTGGGTGAGGTTGGTGAGTGGGTGGATGAGTGGGTGGGTGAGTGGGTGGGTGGGTGAGTGAGAGGGTTGGTGAGTGAGTGAATGAGTGGGTGGGTGAGTGAGTGGGTAGGTGATTGGGTGAGGTTGGTGAGTGGGTGGATGAGTGGTGAGGTTGGTGAGTGGGTGGATGAGTGGGTGGGTGAGTGGGTGGGTGGGTGAGTGAGAGGGTTGGTGAGTGAGTGAATGAGTGGGTGGGTGAGTGAGTGGGTGGGTGATTGGGTGAGGTTGGTGAGTGGGTGGATGAGTGGTGAGGTTGGTGAGTGGGTGGGTGAGTGGGTGGGTGGGTGAGTGAGAGGGTTGGTGAGTGAGTGAATTAGTGGGTGGGTGAGTGAGTGGGTGGGTGATTGGGTGAGGTTGGTGAGTGGGTGGATGAGTGGTGAGGTTGGTGAGTGGGTGGATGAGTGGGTGGGTGGGTGAGAGGGTTGGTGAGTGAGTGAATGAGTGGGTGGGTGGGTGAGTGGGTGGGTGGGTGAGTGAGAGGGTTGGTGAGTGAGTGAATGAGTGGGTGGGTGAGTGAGTGGGTGGGTGATTGGGTGAGGTTGGTGAGTGGGTGGATGAGTGGTGAGGTTGGTGAGTGGGTGGATGAGTGGGTGGGTGAGTGGGTGGGTGGGTGAGTGAGAGGGTTGGTGAGTGAGTGAATGAGTGGGTGGGTGAGTGAGTGGGTGGGTGATTGGGTGAGGTTGGTGAGTGGGTGGATGAGTGGTGAGGTTGGTGAGTGGGTGGATGAGTGGGTGGGTGGGTGAGAGGGTTGGTGAGTGAGTGAATGAGTGGGTGGGTGAGTGAGTGGGTGGGTGATTGGGTGAGGTTGGTGAGTGGGTGGATGAGTGGTGAGGTTGGTGAGTGGGTGGGTGAGTGGGTGGGTGGGTGAGTGAGAGGGTTGGTGAGTGAGTGAATGAGTGGGTGGGTGAGTGAGTGGGTGGGTGATTGGGTGAGGTTGGTGAGTGGGTGGATGAGTGGTGAGGTTGGAGAGTGGGAGGATGCGCGGGGGGGGGGGGCCGTGGGAAACGAAGAGAGAGTTCCCGCTGTTGAGTTGAGCCGTGCCGACGGAGATGATCCTGCGATGGGCGAAGGCCAAGAAACAAAATGGCGGCACTGACGGGGCGAGTGACGACGATACTTTGTTCTTTGGTTCTTTCGGTAAAGTCGCGTATAAAGATAAAATAATAAATTAAATAATAGCATACTACGACGTTTCGATTGCAACACAAGCAATCATCATCAGCTATAATGAAATAGCGACATAGAATCTAACCAGAAAACTATAGACAGACATATAAGCAGACAGACATCACCAAGATACAGAGAGAGAGAGAGTAACACAGGCACAGAGAGGGGTGATCGTCTCTGTGGGGTGGCCTTAAATAGAAAACTATAGACAGACATGTAAGCAGACAGACATCACCAAGATACACAGAGAGAGTAACACAGGTACAGAGAGAGGTGATCGTCTCTGTGGGGTGGCCTTAAATAGAAAACTATAGACAGACATATAAGCAGACAGACATCACCAAGATACACAGAGAGAGAGCAACACAGGTACAGAGAGGGGTGATCGTCTCTGTGGCGAGGCCTTAAATAGACAGAGGGGGGCGGAGGCAGAGAGAGGGAGGGGTTAGAGAAAAAATGTGCATGTCAATGAGTACGAAGAACGCGTAGTAAAGTACGCAAGCTTGAACATTAGGAGAGAGGGAGAAAGAACACACTAAATTAATTTGTCTGTCTGTCTATAGTTTTCTGGTTAGATTTTTTGTTGCTATTTCATTTATACCTGATGATGATTGCTTGTGTTGCAAACGAAACGTCGTATGCTATTAATTAATTTATTATTTTATCTTCATACGTGACTTTACCGAAAGAACCAAAGAATAATTCCTGCAGTTACGAAAGCTCCAAAATTAACGATGCTTTGACTCGTGATAACTCGCCGGTCGCTCTGAGAACAAATGTGTCGCAAGCAGACCACTGCCGTGCCTGAAATGTGTTTTGTGAATGCAGGATGTTTTTTGAGCAAAGGTATTTCTGGACTAACGGAAATGCTGTTGGAATAAAGTGGGTACTAGGGGCGAGGTGTTTTTTCGTATTAAAATGATTGCAAAGAGGTGGAAAACGGAGTTAGGAATGGGCATGTTAAATGTGGATAGATCAGGGGTCGGCAACCAAAATAACAAGAAGAGCCATTTCTTTCCAATTCGGTACAAAATTCAGTATTTCAAGAGCCGCAATGCATCTGAGTAAGTACTCATCATTAAGAAGCAGCCCGTAAAGAGCCGCATGCGGCTCCGGAGCCGTAGGTTGCCGACCCCTGGGATAGATAATGCTATGATTAGGAACATCTGTAGGTGGAAGATACAAGAACGATCTGGAAAAAAAGTCTTTTATGTGCACACTTTAAAAAAGAATACGTTTTCTACCAGTGCCGTCTTTTACAAAAGCAGCGTTACTCAATGTTTAAAATGTTAAAGCTTTGCTTTCGCTAGTCTTGAAAAGATAAAAGTATTCTGCTAAACTTTGACGCAGTGTTATTTGACATAGCACGCAGCTTGTGTAGTTTACACTGTTTGTGCAATTCCTCCTCGATTGTTGTCGTCTGTCTGAAGCTGCGGTGTTTGTTTGTTTGTTTACACGTCATCTCTGTAGTTTATTCATTCCGTTTTACATGCTAAGTAGAATGACGTTGTTGTTGTTCTTCTTCTTGGTTCTTTCGGTAAAGTCGTCACGTAGAAGGGAAATAATAAAATAATACAACATAATAAAATAATTCTCACGACGTTTCGGCCACAACGCAAGCAGCCGTCCTCAGGTGAAGAACAGGTCTGTCGGAAAGACAGCTGTCTGAATGAACAGGTCTGTCTTTCCGACTGTCTTTCCGACAGACCTGTTCATTCAGATGCTGTCTTTCCGACAGACCTGTTCTTCACCTGAGGACGGCTGCTTGCGTTGTGGCCGAAACGTCGTGAGAATTATTTTATAGTTTTATTTTTATTATTTTATTATTTCCCTTCTACGTGACTTTACCGAAAGAACCAAGAAGATGAATCCCTGCAGTCACGAAAGCTTTAAATCGAAATTTAAAGTTGTTGTTTATAATTGCCAGCCAGAACATGAGTCAGTATTAATACTGTTTGAGCGAGATATTTGTAATATTTTCACAAATCGTCCAGACCATTGGTCCGCGTTGTACTGCGCGTACTATTTTAGCGGTGCATTTTAGCGGTGTATTTTAGCGTTCTCTTTGCAAGTTGCTGCTTGACATAGGTCAGTGTATTTCTCCTGGATGTACAACCCCGTTTTTAACGAGCTTCCATTTGAATACATTTTGTTTACCGACGCAGCCAAGGCTGCCAAGACTTGAATTTATACATTAAAACTCAGAAATAAATCTCAGCGTCTTTATTGTAATGATCGCATTGCTCTGCAATGCTGGCGAGGGGGTGTCGGTGTGCAACTCCCGTATGCGCGATCCTCTCTTAGGACAAGAGACGCACACTTCCATTTCGAGCGCTTATCCAGAGTTTGAAGTTAACGTTCTCCCATTAAGTAAACAGAAGCATGATAATTGTTTTTGTACCCTTCTATCTGGCAACAAAACTGACACCTTTTTTACAAGGAGTCATGTTTGCATTGACCACAATACCTGCAGTCGTAATGCAAACAAAACACACAACTCTGATAATGTATGCACTGTCCTTGAAGTTGATTGGTCCACACCCAAGACAGCTTTCCTTAGAGCCCAGTCTCACCTGGGTTGGACCAGATGATGCCAAAAGGCGCACAACTCAAAGACAATGCACCATCAGAGTATGAGAGCTCGGGGCAAGCATTTACACCATTGGAACCTCATTTGCCAGTAAAAAATATGATAATTGGTTTTTGTACCCTTCTATCTGGCAACAAAACTGAAACCTTTTTTACATGTTGCCATGTTTGCATAGACCACAATACCTGCAGTCAGAATGCAAACAAAACACACAACTCTGATAGTGTATCCACTGTCCTTGAAGTTGATTCGTCCACACCCGAGACAGCTTAGTCTCGCCCTCGACGAACGAGCCACTGCACGGACCCACCTCGTTCTCTTCACACCACCCCCAGGTCTTGATTGTCAACCCTCACCCGGGTGCTCACCGGCTCGGCGTGCCGTCGTCGAAGCGTCGTGGTTGGAGCGACTTTGACTGGGGGCCGTGGGGTGCTCACAGCGCGGCTCTGTGAGTCAGCCCACGTTCAAAGCGCGTGTGATTGTTGCACTCGAATGAGCGTTGGGGCAGTGCAGAGGTCGCAACCGGGTACCCGATACCCGTACCCTACCCGATACCCGTACCCTACCCGATACCCGGCTACCCGTACCCGACCGGGTACGGGTAGCCGTTCACGACCCTGGTGCGGCCAGTTACGGGTAGGCCGTGAGTCACTGGTGAGTAACCATTTGTCACTCATTTCGGGTAGGGTACGGGTAGGGAATGGCTACCCGTACCCGGCTGGGTACCCGTACCCGGCCGGGTACGGGTATCCATTTGCGACCCTGGTGCGGCCAGGTACGGGTAAGGAAACAAAACCCATTTGCGACCTCTGGGGCAGTGCCCCATCTAATAATAATTCAAAACAATAGATACATCATGTGCCTGCAGAGCTGTGAGTCGGTGGTGGGACATGTGCACATTGCCACAGCAGCAGCAGGGTGGGTGTATTGTATAGGCCGCAGACTTCTTCATCGCAAGGCCACCAGC